GGCCCCGCGCAGCCCGGTGCGGGGTCCCCACGCGGGACACGCTCTCGCACGGAGTGCCCTCGCGGGGGCGGCTCTGCGGGCTGGAAACCGAGCAGCGCCCCGCAAGCACATCTGTCAAAACAGAGCGGCGCTTCGGGAGGCGTTYGCTTCCACCCGTGAACAGAGGAGCTTATTGAAGCCGCCGCAGGGCCCCAGTGCTCCAGCGGAGCACAACAAAAGGGCAGTGTCCCGCCGGCGGAAGAGGGCACAGGTATCATCACGGGGCTCTGGCCGCTGGGAATGCCTCGTCCCGTCCTCCTCCCCGTCTCCTAGCCAAAAGCGTGTGACAGTCATACCTCCCCTCCTGTTTGCTTTTAGTGGTCAGACAGCATGGCTCCAGAGAACCCGCCGAAGGACAGGAGGCCGGGCAGGACCCACGAGCATCCGCCAGAAGAGGCGAGATCAGCTGGGAAAAGGAAACGAGACTGTGAGGAACTAGAGAATGAGCCACTAGCAAAGAAGCTGTTTGTGAGAAAATCGTCCAAACCCCCGGAGAAAATTGGTAATACTTCCTCAGATTCTTGCACTTTTTGCCAAGCAGATTTACCCTGAATGACAGGCATTGACTGGCTGAAGGGGGATGATGCCAGCAAGCCTGCAGCCTGTTCAAACATGAGTACTTGGATTAAATATATTAAGAATTAAGGATTAAGCAATACACAGATGCATGTAGAGGTAGTACTCTATATGCAATTATCTAACAAGTGTACATGTGTGTGCAGGTTTGGTTTGAAAGTGGCCACCCCTTGCTAGATGCCTGCTCACTGAAGTGCCCATCTCAGCTCGTCCTCGCAGGGTGATTAAGTTCTGTGGAATTCCTGAATTACCCTGTGTCTGCTAGTCCTTGTAGCATGCTGTTTTTGTCATGTGATTCCTAACGGAGCTTCGTGATTGTAAGCTTTGTCTTGCAGCACACAGTCTAAACAGGCATTTCCACTTTTCTTTTTAATATATATATTCTGACCTTCCCTACCTTACGTGGGAAGGCTAAATCCTTTCTACGTCTATAATTAGATATTTACATTAGACTAAAGTCCACTAATCGCTTCTCCTCAGGTGCAGTTATTTTTCACTAGCATATAMCTTAGCAAAGTTCTCTTAAATGCTACTCAAGCATCTCTTAGCTTTTGTTTTTTTTTTCTTTTTTCTTTTTTTCCCCTCTCTCCTCTATGAGGAGAGGGAAGTGCATGAATTCTTAGATGTTGGAAAGATGACTGCTTTGCATTATCAGGAAAGCTGTATAGACCTCAGATAGACAAGTAATTGTTTTCATATTTCTACAGACATCACTTTTGATTCTGTATTTTGTTTAGGAAATCTCTAGAGTTAGAGTTCTTGCCTGTATTGCCTACACATGTTCAGTAACTTTTTAAGAATCTAGAATTTTTTTTTCTCTCCCAGAGATATGGATTGCACATTCCCTTTCTATTCCCATTCTCTGGTGTATGACTCCACGCTTCAGATCAGCTGACAGTGTGAATAATGAATGGAAGCAAGATACTCTCTTTAAAGGGAGTTTTGCTTATAAATAATTAGATAGAAATTGCAGATAATTAACACATCATCTACACTTAATTTAGCTACAAGATTTTCACTATAACTTTGTGGCCTGATTTTTAAATTTGGTGAGCAACTGCATTTCCCATAAGTTTCAGAGGGAGTTAAAAGTGGTCAGTACTTCAGGAAAATGAGGTTAAGCACATTTTTCCCTTATATCTTTTTTAAAAACAGGAAGTTTTTTGCATGTTTGCATTTGACCTTTTCCATTCTGTGTCCCAGTATAGTTTTTGTATACTTTGGAAAAAGTGATTCCCCCACCTCCGAGTAACATAAGTGAGATGAAGTTTCTTGCAGTCAAGAATATTTATTTTCTCAATTCAGAAAAGTCCCCAAGATGTTTCTTAACAAATTATCCTTCCTAACAGAACCAAATCTGAAAAAGTCATCACCTCCTAAAGAAAGAACTGGGGATGCTAACATGCTAACCCTTCTGTGGAAACAAGGAATTAGAACAGAGGTGTTTTTCTACCTATTTCAGCAGGTGTGACAAGTGCCCGCTATGCTGGTTCATGAACAAAGAAGTTTGGTGTCACACCAATGGATCTGTAGGCCACGATGTTGCATTAAAGAAAGATTTTCTCCATTTCCTCGTCACAAAGGATGATATATGTGTTTTGGTTCTATTTTTTAAGAAATGCTTCTTTCCCATTTGACATCTTTGTCCCCTGGGGTGTTATGGATCATTGCCGGTGGGGTGACTAGATCATAGACTCTGGACTGAACAGATTCAGTTTTCATGTAACGGTCCCTGAAGATCGAACTCGGAACATGAACAAAACATGAAGCAGGCTGTGGTCTCAGTAAAACTCACCCTGAACAGAAAGGTTTTCAGGCAATGAGGCGTCAGCAAGTCTATTATCCGAAGCAAACCTCGCGGTGCCGCAGGCGGCTGCATGGGCTGCAGCACGAGCACATGGAATATTCTGATTCACAAGCAGGCCTTTCAGTAACTGCATGGGGACTCCTGCATTGCTCTGCCTGGGGAATTTTCAGGTGTTGCTGTTCTGCTTGTCACAAGTCTGACCTTCCCTCTGCTACACGCAGGAGTTTACCCCCTCCTACGGCTCAATCCCAAATCACAGGGCTTCAGTGGCTTCGCTGTGTTTGGGTAGGAGCCGTTCAGGTCATGAGCTCTCCAAGAGAAGCAGCACTGTGATGTGTCTTTTGTTGCCTCTTGTTCTTTGTGATAAGATGAGAAGTGCAACAAGAGGAAGCCTGGGCAGAGCTCTGGCTGGCTGTGGGAAGCACTGGACTCCAGAGCAGGGCCTTTTGTACCTCAGATGTGTAAGAACCATTTTGAGTCTTTTCTYGTGACTGGACTTAGCAGCAAACACGATGGGTGTTGCTGTTGCTTATTGAATGCATGTGACAGGCATTGGCTCACTGAAGGTTTTGCCCCTTGTCTTTTTGGCAGGTTGGAGTAGAGGTGGATGTGTGATCAGAAATACCAGAGCCCTTTTGCATCAGCTGGAGAAGCAGTGCAGCATTGTCCATTACGTCTACCAGAACATGCTGGGAGGCTCCATCCGGGCACAGCTCAGGCAGGTGAGCAGTGTCTCCTTCCCRATCTGTTGGACATCTCATTTTTCTACAAAAGACATCTCGAACACAAGCAGGGACCTTGAAGGGGGCTTCAGGTTCTGCACACCACAGACGTGCGGTTTGTGGCTCAGAGCCTGACAAGCCTTCATGTTTCTTAATCCTGTGACGTGCAGATGCAAAGATCCTTTTCTCTTTCCATTGACATGGCCTCATCACCAAACATTTTATCCTCTGTTAATTCTGTGCTTCCTTGAGTTATATGAAGAGTTACTGCCCTCTCATTAAGGTGCTGTCCCATGCTTCTTTTGCACATTAATCTAACTGCTCTGCCTGATTGTTTTTGTACCTGCTTTACTTTGCTAATGATGCTAGTGTTGGTGTTGGCTTTTGTCATTTTCACAGAGATATTTCATCAAGCCCAGAATGTTTTGCTGGTTTTCAGTGACGTCTTCTTTCATTGGAAAAGTAACTTTTCTGTAACACTCATAGCTAAGAAGAAGGACCTGGGCTGATTTTATCTTCTAGGTGATTTAGCTATTTTAAACATCCAAATAATAATGAAACCTCCAAGCCCATCTAGCAATATCCATAGCTGATCTGAGTAACAATATGATCCTATTGTGGTTTCTTATTCCCTGTTTGAAATGTTTAATTCCTTTTCTCTTGTGCAAGCAGTTTGCATGGAGGACATAATATTATATCTCTGGATGATAACATTCTTGGGTACACAGTGCATTCATAGAAGGCCACCAGAGCCTTCTTCTGGAGGGAAGAGGCGTGTTCTCCTTCTCTGTTAATATTAATTATCCCGCCTATTTAGCTCAGCCCAAGAGGCTTGGCTTCCTGCACATTGTTGTAAGGGAGTTTTCTTCTCAGTTCTCTCTTGCTATTGCCCACTGTGGCTGACAGGGATTTGTTGAGTCCAGGCTGTTTTCCCTGGGACAGCATGTTCTCTTCATTCCACAGAGGAGCTTAGCGTTTCATGTGAATGCACTAATGCTGGTGGCAGTTAGGAATCACTGGCACTTGTTMTGCAGAAATGCCTTCAAATGTGCTGATTCTCTTCAGTTTTGTTACAGTGTCTGCAGCTGCCGTTCCTGCGTTCGCTCACCTCGTACCGCCTTTTCCGAACAGCAAGTCCCTTTGACAGGAGAGTGACTTGCCTGGAATGGCATCCGACACACCCCAGTACTGTAGCTGTTGGTTCCAAAGGTGGAGACATCATCCTTTGGGACTATGAAGTGCTTAATAAGACCTGCTTCATTAAAGGGGTAAGTCCCTGCGTGTGTGGAATGGGTTGGAGGAGAAAACTGGAGCACCACCAAATGCTGCAGAGCAAAACTGGGAGCTGTGGCARGGAGCGTGTGAGGGTGCTGGGCTGCAGGGCAGAGCTCAGGTGCCACCAGCACCTCTGTCCCCGAGGCCTGGGCTGCTCCAGCCCCGAGGAGAACTGGGGCACACTGAGCGAGCTCAGAATGAGCAGTCCATGCTGTGTGGTTGGYGGGAGAATAATTCAGCAGCTGGTGAAATAGGTTTTTTTTTAAAGGGAAGCTAGAAATAAGTGTGCAGAGAGGGTTTGTCTGTTTTAGGTCTTGATCTTTCTCTGCTTTATTCTGTGACAGAGGAAGAAGTATTTGTCTAAGTGGGGAGAAACAAAGTCCCTTCATCTGAAGCAAGCCAGTGAAGTGGAACGAGTGATTTCTGTAGCTGGCATGCCCCCACATTGCTTCATTCAGTGATCACCTGATCATACTCCAACTTTTGCCCTCTTTCTAAAGTATCATAAACATACAGAGATTTATCCTCAAAAAAATTCCAGGGCCATCTTCGTTTTTTTTTGTTTGTTTGTTTGTTTGTTTTGGGGTTTTTTTTGTTTGTTTGTTTTTTCTTCTTTTCATAGATAGTGTGGTGCCTGCCAGCCAAGGAATACATTGCCTGGGGAGGGCAGCTGCCCACGCAGCTGTCATATGGGAAGACATAGTTGCCTTTGCCTCCTGAAGGGCTGTGATGCTTCACTGTTGGTGTGAAGGACCTAGCAGTGAATGCAGAGTTATAGAAGACACTTTCCTCCTTTTCCATCACTCAGTGGATTTTTCTTTTGTTCATCCCCTTCCTTGTAGATGGGAGCTGGAGGGACCATCACAGCAATGAAGTTTAACCCTTTTAACCCTAGTCAGCTGTACACATCGTCAGTGGCCGGCACTACCACTCTGCAGGATTTTAATGGCAATACTCTCCGGGTCTTCACCAGCACCGAGGACTGGGAGTAAGAAATACAATTTTTTGGGCCTCTGTGTCCTGCTGGCAGGAGCGGTGCAGAGAGAGAGAGAGAAAGAGAGAGAGAGAGAGAAATGTGTTTGATACGTGAGAGCGGGGCTTCCTCTCCTCCACATGCATCTCCTTTATCCTCTGGATTTCAGGGATGCTCTGTCTTGCAGGGAGTCTTGCTCTGCCTTCTTATTTTTCCCTGGAGCAGGATGGTGGGCTGGAGAGACCTTTACTTCCTTAAGGGGAGAGACTCTGATTTCTTTTTCCCCTTGTACATGGGGCGGTGGAGAATGCCAGTGGATTTCCTCACCTGTATTCTTACACATTCCGTGGCTCTGCATCCTGGGAACTGCCTAAGCTCCAGACCTGTTAGCAAGGCTGCTTGCTACCAGATGAGTTTCATAGGGCAGTTTATGGAGACCCCTCAGTGCTCACCACTGACTTGAAGTGATCCAAAGTGTCACCTCAATTCATTCCAGCTAACTTTTGGCACATGATCAAAGACCCTCAGTAATGAAAGGAAAGAGGAAATGAGTATCTATARGCAATTCTGGCCACTTGCTCAGAATCACCCCCTCAGAGTGCTGCTCTTTCAGTGACTCATGAGGAAACCTGAGCTTCTAAGTTACTTCAATTCAGGACTTAAAAGCAACTTAGATGAATCTGGACTAGTCTTCTCTTTCCTCTTTCAGTTTTCCCCACCTGCTCCTTTCCAGGAGCAGGTGGCCTGCTTGGCATCCAGACTGGCTGCTCCAACTGCAACCTTCTCATAGAGCAGAAAGGGGAATCCCAACAGTGCTCAGGTGACTGGTCAGATGAGCAGGGAAGGACACATTGGACTGTTGGGCAGGAGGGTCTTGCATCCCAGTGTTGGGCAGGAGGGTCTTGCATCCCAGTGTGATGCCTGTTGCTGATTACAGTAGGGATACCTCAGTCTGAAGCAGCGTGCCATGTTCCTCCCGCTGCCATGAGGACCGGCAAGCGCTGTGGAAGGGCTCCTGTTGGTCCTCACTGGGTTCTTGAAAGCCAGTATTTAGAGTGAGACTCTGTGAGCAGCAGATGGAATGTGCTTGGGCATCGAAGGGTTTGGGGGCTCCTGCTGTCTCTGAAGCTGCTGCATGTTGGAGCAGTGGAGCACTTAGGGCTGGCCACTGTTGGGATGGGGTCCCTGTGCTGTGCAGTTAGCAGCACAATTCCCCCTGCACAGCTCTCATCCCTCCTGCCAGTGCCTTGGGAAAGATCAGCTATGGCAGTGGGAGCGCCGGGTCTGGGAGCTTGCTGCGGGGTGGTCGGGACAGGGAGCTTGGTGCGGGGCAGCCGGGACGGGGAGCTTGGTGCGGGGCGGCCGGGCCCTTTCCTGTGGTTTCCTGTGGTTTCTGCCCTGCTGCTGCTGGCTTTGCTGCTCCCTCCTAGGCCTGGGCTTAAGTGATGCGGCCAGCTGCAGGTTCACCTCACCCTCCTCTGTAGCAGAGTGAGCAGGGCAGCTAGTGAGGTTGGCAGCCCGGGACAGAGTGTTGGGCTAAGCCTGCGAGTTCAGAAGGCATGTGCTGCCATGAGAAACAGGTTGGGAACAGTACAGTTCATATGTTTCTCCTGTTAGGAAACATACTTCAGTAATTTAGGGCATTGTACCAAGGAAAACTAGCAGTGTGTTCCAGGGGATAAGTATTGGATTAAGAATCTGACTTGCACTGTGACCTTGGCTTTGTGGGTTTTCCAGAAAGGGCCAGGAGATTCTCTCGAAGTCGTGAAGTGCTGTCCTTGTGAAGCAGTGAAGCTTTGTGTGGCATCAGGGAATGGCACCCTAAGTCTGCAGGACCTTGAGGGCAGGTGGTCTCCTTGCCCTGGCTTGTGGCCATGAGCACCATAGTGTTTGGTGAAAAGGGGGCAGGGCAGGGCTGAGYGTCTGCTCCCTCTGTTACTGCTGCTGTGGTTCCTCTGTCTCTGACATCTGCTCCCTGACTGGATTAGGAGGCTCCAGAATAGRTTCTGTAAGGGAGCTTGGAGACCAGCGCCTGGTCCCAGCCTGGAGCTTGCAGGGTGGGATGAGCTAGGCAGCCACAGGGCACCTGGGCTTTGTGGTAGCCAAACGTGCTGCCCGTGCAGTCTGGTGTCTCTTTCTGGTGACACCCTCTAGTGTCTTGCAGGTGCTGATGGTGCTTCATTTTATAAAGGACTGGAGAGAAGAGCACAGTAACTTCCTTCTCTTCATAAGGATCAGGGTTCTGTGGGGTTTGTGCGGGCTAGCAGCTCAGAGAATCCTGGGTGTGAGCTTATAGAGTTAACCTGGCCACTCTCTGGAGGTATCAGGCTTGCCCTGGCAATTTCTGTGGCCATGAATTCAAATATAATTTGCTCCTGCAAAAGTGAAGCTTTCCCAACAGGTTCCCAAAGGATCCAGAATTTACTCTGACTTCTCCAATAGAGCAGAGGTTAAAATGTGTGTCTGTATTGGACAAATCTTTTTTTTTTTTTTTTTTTCCCTGGAGCAGTTTTAGAGTTGCAATTTTCCAGTCCAGAGCTTTTGTCTTTTCTTTACTGCTGCTTCACTGTGTTGTGGAAAACCTCGGTTGAAAGCTGTTCCCGTACGTTTGTGAACATCACGGGGGTGTTCTGATCTTTCCCGAGGTGTGTCCGTGTGCAAGCCAGGTGACGTTTSAGCCTCTGTGTGTTCCACTGTCTCTACATGCCACACTCCATCGAATCAGCATTTGGCAGATGACTTGGAAATTGCTCCATGTTCCGTCAGCAACGGAAAGCTCCGCTGATAAGCTTGACCCTCTGCCTGAAGTCCAGRCCCACCCCTCAGACAGGAGGTGGCAGCTGCAATCTGTTGCAGTCTCCCTAGTCAAGAGAGGGAAAAGATGCGACCCTGAGCTCCCCTGCTGCCCGGGGCCTGGGAAGGCAGCTCTGATTTTGGGTCTTTCCCCGTAGCTGCTGGTACTGCAGCGTTGACGTGTCTGCCAGCTGCCGGGCCGTGGTGACGGGCGATAACATGGGCAAAGTGGTCCTGCTCAGCACCGCCGGGGAAGAGGTAGGTACCGCTCCTCGCAGCCGCTCCTCCACGATCCCTCTGGTCACGCTCTGCCTCTGGTTGCAGGTTTTGCTGCAAGCAGAGACCCCTCTGCAAGGGGGAGCAAGTCGCCTCGCACGAGATGAGTCCACTGAGTGTCTGGGTGGTGGGACTCCTGCATGTCAGCTCTTCACAGGGAATATTCCTATTTGGTAACAGTTCATGGTTAGGGACTGTGTGATGGGCTGCCCCTTCTTTAAGAACATTTACCTGTGAGGATAAGTGGTTATAGGGTAATCTGAAGATGTAAGCACCTTCTGCCAGCAACCTTCATGCTTCTAAAACCTTTATGCACTAATAGGAGTCATTTGGAAGTACTGCTTTGTTGGACACCCCTCTGTGATCTCGAAGTGAGTACCCTCACTAAGCGAAAGCGAGTCATTAAGCGRAAGTTGGGATGGAAATTGCACTCCTGCCCTTAGACACGAGAGGGCAGGCGGCTCCTGCTTGCCCGGAGCACTCCGGGTGCCTTCGGAGAGGGTGACTTGCACAGAGCCCTGCTCGCTGAGGGACTGCTGAGAATGGAGTCACCTTCTCTCCCCTCTCGGAGGGTAACGCCTGTGAGTTTGCCACCCCAAGAGCTGTGGGGAGAAATTGTGTACATTAGTTGCGAGTACCTCAAATAGCTCATGCTCGTTCAAGGTGTGTTGCTTCCTCTGTTTGTTTTGTTATCSTTCTGAAATGTTTTTTTGATGGTCTTTTGTCTGTTCTGCCCTTGGGAGATGCCTGCTTTCCCCGTCCTGGAAGCTGTGGCAAATCTCCTCATGCTTTTCATTATCTCTGTGGTTCTCCTTTCTGTTGCTGCTGCTCAGAGACAGAAATACTGTATTTCTGGGCTTGTAGTTCCTTTATTTGTTTCTGATGTTRCCTGAAACTACAGCTCTGTGTTTTAAAGGCTACAGGGATCATAATCAAGGTGTGTTTATTCCCCAGCACTGAGTGCCTTAATAGGAGATTAGCCTATTTATGACAAGTGRACCCTGGGGCTCTGCGCTGTCAAGGGATGTCCATCTTCATGCTAGGAACTCTCTGAGACTAAATGGGAATTCAGGTATGTCAGAATTCTCAAATTCTGACTCATTTAGATAAAATCAGGGACACAGGACCAGAAGAACTCCTGGGTTACCCAGTCCTGTAGCCACTTAATAAACTTATTATAGTCCTTTTTAAAGATATTTGGGGGTTGTTCTGATTTTGTTCTGCCTACTAGCACACGGAGGATGTAGCAACTTTACCCCTTGGCTTAGAAATAATCTTGTGACTTCCGGTACAAATTTATTCACAGCAAGGTTATACCCAATAGTTCTTGCTAATGGAAATATTTCTTCTTCCTTGCTGTTTATTTTTGTCTTTTTTCTGGGAGGAAATTATATCCCCTCTTAGCCTTCACTTTTGCTTTACAAGGCTCTTTTGTTGATCTCCCATGCAGCAGGCCACTCATTCTTCACCTTATCTTTGCAGACCATTTCTGTAACTGTTCCAATTTGTGTCAGCCTTTCTGCAGGTGGGAGACGGGCACGGTGAGCAGGGCTCCAGCTGAGGTCTTGCTCTGCGCAGTGGCACTGGCACCTTCCCCCCTGAGCCAGGGATCACGTTTTCCTGTCTTGTAGCTGTAATCAAGTGGTGAATCAGAGGCCTCCTTTTAATTAAATGACTCCCAAGGTCATTCTTCATTCTTCTTTCCAGATAAATCTTGTATTTTTTCTTAGTCTGTTAAATGCATGACCTGTTCACTTTGCAGTAATAGATTCTTATCCCATGTTTTTTACTGTGATCCATTATCTTTCTGCATGATTTTCTGTTTCCTCTGCTGCAGATCTGGAAGCTGAAATTACACAAGAAGAAGGTGACACATGTGGAGTTTAACTCTCGATGTGAGTGGTTGTTGGCCACAGCCTCTGTAGACCAGACAGTCAAAATTTGGGACCTGAGGAACATCAAAGATAAAACAAGTTTTCTTCATGTGCTTCCTCATGACAAAGCTATCAATTCAGGTGAGTTCATGAGATAGGATGGATGTCTGCTGAACTGCCTATTCTGTTTTTTTTTCTTGCTCTTCTTTAGGTCTGGAGGCTGTTTCCACTGTTTGGGGTGTTCTGTCTTGCTCTTGTTCTTGAAAGAATGAGGGTTTTTTGGTTTGTTTTTTTTATTTATTTTTATTTTTTTCCTGTTTCTTCCAGTAGTCTCTGTGTTTTTTTTAAAGATTGGACTGTTTTGGAGCAAGTCTCAATACAGGCATCTACAAACCCTTCAAGTGTCATTTTTAACTACAGGCGCTGGATACAGACTTTGCCTCAGGCCCTTCAGGAGRGTGTCCGTGCAGCTCGCTGACACCYTTCTCTTACATTCTGGGTCCGTGATTCGGAGCTGCTGTCCATGACGGAAGATCCCTGAAGGTGTCGCCTGCCRGTGCGGCCTGGCAGCCTCACCCTGGCTGGCTCAGCGCGTTGCTCCCTGTTAACCCCCTGCGGCTCTTCCGAGCCCGGCTTCAGGGCAGCCTAGGCTGGGCTTTTGCTGCTGCTGCAATGTTGGCCAAGGCAGGGGAGGGGATAGGGCAGCAGCAGCAGTTTTAGACTGGCCATAGAAAACTGGAGCTGTGCCTTGAGGGGCTCGAGTGGAATAGCAGCAGCAGCAGCTGTGATTAGAAAACTGAATTGATTGGGGCAGTTTCAGTGGCAAAAAATGGGATATGGAGCTCAAAATCCCTTTGTCTCTCTTCTTTTGATGTTTAGTTGGACCTGTTGGTGGAAGTCCAGATTGCAGGGTCTGTTTTGGGCAGTTCCCCTAACTTGCCTTTTGACTGAGCAAGTTCTTTTCTTTGTGATGCCWATTTCTTTAACTTTAGAATGAAAAAGATTCTTTGTATCTCATGGAGCATTGTAGGTTTCAACTTGCTATTCACAGGAGACCTGAGTTTTTGAGGGGTAAGTTCTTGTTTGTTGGGACTCACAGCCATATTCAGTTCTCTATTGAGGATGTATTAAGGGGTATCCAGAGAGGCTTTTATGTTTGTGGTCAGCCACAAAATTGTGATTTTCTTTTTCCTCCCCTCTTTTCCTAGCCTACTTTAGCCCAACAGATGGTGCCAAGCTCCTGACCACAGACCAGCGCAGTGAAATCAGGGTTTACTCGTCTTCAGACTGGACCAAGCCGCAGCATCTGATCCCGCACCCTCATCGGCAGTTCCAGCACCTCACAGCTATCAAGGTATCAAGTGCAGCCTGGGAAGGGGTGTCAGCCTTGGTGCTAGCATCAGGCTGCAAAAGAAACGGTCTGCCTGTTAGCCAGGAGAGACTGCTGGAGGTCGGTGCTGGTGCTCCGTGTTCTGACGCCGCTCGCGTTCCTCGGGCTGCGGGAGGGATACRAGAATGGCTGTGCCTCCCGCTGCACCTCTCGGCTCCCTGTGCACATGGGTGCCAGCTCTGCCCCTTCCCTCACTGTCCATCCCTGTGCTCTGTGTGTAGGCGACGTGGCACCCTCGCTACGACCTCATCGTGGCGGGTCGCTACCCAGACCCCAAGTTCCCGGGCTACACAGTGAATGAGCTGCGGACTGTGGATATATTTGATGGGAACACTGGAGAGATGGTGTGTCAGCTCCACGACCCAAATGCATCCGGTATAATCTCGGTGAGTCGGACACTGCAGCTGAARGGACCTATCGAGGTGTACTGACATACTGAGGACGTATTGAACTGTAGCTGAGAGACCTTGTAGAGACCGAGAGAATAGAAATACCCTCCTTGCTTGTGACAGCCCCACGCTAACATGGAGCCACGGCTGTTGGCTGAAGCAGAGCTGTTCTGTGGTCATCTGTGCATTTTCTTCAGGGAATATTCTGGTTTCCAGATTTGTTTTTTCTTTCTGTTACGTAAGCAGTGATACTCTTGTGACTCTGTTATGTAAGCAATGATGCTCTTACAAACTGTCATTATGTTTCCGTTTGCAGCTCAATAAATTTAACCCCATGGGAGACACACTGGCGTCTGGCATGGGTAAGTAAAGAGGAGCTGAGACCCTGAGTATTAGTGTGTTTCAGTCCTAGAAAAGGGCAGGCTTGTCCCTCCAGGCTAACGCAAGCTGCTAGTGATGGTTTCCCAAGCCCCTCCTTACAGTTCTGCTGATGGCAGGGTCTAATTTCATGCATCTGTAAAACAAATCAAGAGCTCCTTTACAATCTCCCACCTTTGCAGTTACAAGACAGGTTGCTAGTCCTCTCATTTGAAACATCCCTGAGAGCATGAAGCCCAAAGGAAAATGACGCCAAAAAAATGCAACCTCCCCTGAGCAGGGAGCTGCTGCCATCTGCTGACCATGTAACAGTGGGAGAAACAGGATAGGGGAAAAAAAATCCAGCGAGACTGTAGCCCTCTCCCTTCTGGTTACTTGCCTCCTTTCCCAGGTTTCAGAACCAACRTTACTCGGGCCTTCCTAGGCTGTGTGGAATTAAGGGAGCTGGCTTTAGATATAGGCCTCATACCTGTGATAGATGTGAGATTAGGAACTAATTATGTTTCTTAATTATGTCAAATTTCTAAGGCTATGTGGAGGTGGTACCTGCACCAAATAACATCCCATCCTCTGTGCCTAGGAAAGAGCTTAGATTCAGTCATTTTAGTCATTTAATCTGGTCATTTTGAATTTCTGGCACTTAACTGACATAGACAGCAACTCCACGTTATACCTATAGTATTTTACGTCATATAGATTTTCTGAGACRGGATGTTTTATTTTTCCTCTCAGGTTTTAATATTCTGATCTGGAGCCGGGAGGAAATGGTGGCCAAGAAGCAGGAACATCTTTTGAAAGCCATGACAGAACAGGGGATCGGAAGCCGGAGCTCATCCAGACGTGGAGGACAAAGGCAAGCAAACCCTGGGACAAGCAAACTCAAAACTAAGTTACTGTCTTGGGAAGCAGAGGAGGCAAAAACAAAGAGTAAATCGCAGGGAAGGAAGAGAAAAGGGAAGGATCTAGAGAACTGATGTAGTATTTTGATCCTTTCTGGATCGTTGAGAACAAATTCAGTGCTATCAATGGGCAGCATAAGCACTGCAGGGCATTAACCTTCTGCTTTGTCCTTCCTCTGGCTCTGATCTTCCTTCTCTGATTCCCTTTGCTTCCCCTTCTAATGAATTGTGTTGGCACTCAGTTCCTCCTCCAGGCAAGGTTACCACTCGTTTTCTAGGCACTAGGGAATCTTTAGGCCATGGAGAGATGTTATCAGACTCTGCTGAGGTTCATGCTGCCTCATCTCTGCATGTCAGCACCGTCAGGGGTTGCTGTCTCCTGCRTTGTGCTATGGAGCAGCGCACGGCAGGGTCCCCAGCTCCTTTTAGTCAAACTGAGCTGTGAAAGCCTTTGCTGTCCAGCTTCATGTCCTGAGAAGGTTCCTAGGCAGGGGTGATGGGTACCGTGGATGACCTCAGGAACACCAGCCTCTTCCATGTGCAAGCTTTTGACAGGCTCTGTCAAAACCTCAGACTTAGCCTCTTCAGTGCTTGCAGCTATTAACTAGCCCCTGAAGAGCAGGGTGATGCCAGAGCTCTTTGTCTGCCTTGTGGCACGCAAGGGCAGCACTGATGGGAGACCCTCCTGGTTCTGTAGAGTTCATTTTCAGAGCTCTACTCTTTCTTCACACACATTAGGTATATTTTTTTTCCATCTATGCCTATGTGTTTCAGATTGTTGTCTAGGAGTGTTTTTAAGGCAAAAAAATGAGGCATTTCTTACAGAAACCCTTTCTCAGCGCCAAATCTCAAGACTGCTGTTAAAAGTTTTGCTTTTTCTAGTTTGTTTACAAAGGTGTCTGGGGCTTTGCTGCTGTCCCAGARGTTGGTGGATAGGACCAGGCTTCAAACCTGCTCAGATTCAATGTTCACTTTTATAGTTTTGCAGTATTGATATTAATAAAGTTTTGTACTAAACTAAWTTTCTTCTTTGATTCAGAGTGGCTGCTTTGAGCATTCTCCTAATTGTTTTCTGTGTGTGGGAAGACAGTACTGACCCTTTTGCAGGAGGGCCAGGAGAGTTAGAATAGTTATGGGGTTATCAGTTCATGCAATGCATTTACAAATGAACCTCTCAAGTTAGACAAGTTGCATTATAAGCTGATATCTGTACATGGCTGCTTCAGCCCAAAGTTACTTCACTTCTCATTCTGCTGTACATGAGTTTGAAAATGGGGGGTGAAATTCCCTGTGGCTACCTTGAGAAGGAGTCTACTGTAAGAAATTCTGCCTGTTTTTCAATACTGAGCACATAGGAGCTAGCCCTATATACACTTTTGGACAAAAAGAAGAGTAGAGTTCAGTGTGGGATTGATTTTAATGACAAAAAGGAAATGTATTGGAACAATTACAGAAAGTCATTCACAGTCAAAAAGTCTAAATCATCATAGAAACCTTTTCTCTGTGTGCAAAAGTTGCTGCTTTTAAAAAATAATAGATCCGATCCCCTTGAATGCACTTTCTATTACCTCTTCCTTGTGCCTGTTCTCCCAGGCAGTCGCTTGTTCTCTGTGACTCTCTTGCTGTGCAGGGGACCTAGATTGTATCTTCAGGGGACAAAAAGGTGAGGAAGATGCTGAGAACAGCAGCTGCTTCTGCTGATTTGGAGTTCCCATGGCGGCTGTAGGGAGAAGTCCCTGTGATGCTCCATAGGGGAAGAAAAGGAAATGTCTGTAGCCTAAGAACTACTGTCTGCCGCCAAGAGGGGACAGGAACTGCACCAGAAAGGGAACTAAAAGTGGGAAGTGAATGTGCAGCATCACCATGCGCAAAGGGCAGCGCCTCGGGTGCTTGCTGTGGCCTCTTTTTCTCTGCCAAAAGTTACAAGGCAGGTAGCAAGCTCTGGGCATCAAGTTTCTTACAGAAGCTGCAGAGGAAAAAAAAAAAAAAACATACTTTGGAAAACGGCAAGTGAAGGGCTCTGCAATTACCCTCCAAATACTGCTTTGGGAGGGAGGTGGGGAGACGGTAAGGCTATCCAGCGTGGAAGATGGGAAGAAAGACCACAGAAGTTGGCATTTAGCCTGAGTTAAACAGCCCTGCTACACATCCTCAATGACACTAGAAAAACTTTCTGCCATTACAGCCTATTTCTTGGATTCATAATTGATACTTGGACCACCTCCAGTTACAGGACTCTTCCTGGATCCTTCTGCAAAGACTCAAGTAATAGATAATGAGGAGTAAAATTCAAAAGAAAATACCTTTAGAAAGAGCTCAAGTTTTCTTTCTACAGGGACTCTCTCCTTTCTATAGCCAACATTACACACAAAGCRTGTGCAAGCCTGCTATGGCTGATGGCATGAATTCACTTACAGGTTAAAGCTCTGGTTCTGTGGGTCGCATGGAGCATACTATGCCGAATCTGGGAAACTATTGCTAGGTTTTCCAATTCTGTCCTGACTCCAGGCAGCTGCTTTTCTCTTGAAGCACAAGTTGGAGGTAAAAAAGACCAGTTGCTAACAGAAAACACTTAGCAGCAACCTCAGGAATGTTTTTCACCATCTGCCATCATCTCTAGAAGCTCCTCCCTCTGCCTGGAGGGCAGATAAGTCTCTGTGCAGTGTTGGTGAGCTGGGCTATCCTAGCCCAGCCCTCCTACCACCCTGAGCCCTGCGCTTGAGAGAAACCTRCCCAAAACAGGCTGAGCCTAAAGAAACACCGACACCTGGCTGCGCTGCGTGTGACCCAGGCCCCTCTGCCACCGTCGCAGCGAGTGGTGACAGTTACAGTCTCTGAAAGGAGAGGAATTGCTCGTGGGGAGCAGCAGCTCCAGCTGGCCACGCTGGGAGCCCCACCTGGGTTGAGCTGCTTGAGGGCTAGGGGCACCACACACCAGCAGGCTTCAGAATTACAATTCAGATGAGTAGCTCGGTCCCCTCCATTGGACATCACCTTTAGGAAACATTGAAAAATCCAGCTCCATTCTGGGAAGCAGTTACCCAGCAGAAGAGAGCTTGGTAACTGCAGTGCCCAATCACCACGGGCAGCGCTGCTCCCTCCTACTGCTGGGGAAGGAGCTGCAGCAACTGTCATGCCTGCTCTTCTCCCTCATTGGAAACGTGCCGGTAGCCAGGGGGCTGCGACTGGATGCGCAAGAGGACAGTCAGCAGGAGGATGATAAGGAGAAAGAGAATGGATCCACACACAGCCAGAGCCACAAACAGTTCTGCAAGGGAGAAAACAAGCGGTCAGTGGGGTATCATCCAAGCTTCCTGCTCCCGCCACGCTGCAGTCCCGCCTGGGYTCACCTGTGTCGTGCGCTGTGCTTGCTGCCTGGCATTCCTGCTCCCAGTCCTGGGTAATAACCGGATCGGTGAGCTCCAAAAATCGATGCAGGGAGCATGTTTGCTGGCAGCCAGGGAGCGTCAGCGGGAAAGGTTCCTTCCCGCTCTCATTCCGGAAAAACATCTCCACAGAGAAATTACTGAAAGTGAAATGCAGCTAGATCGGTTACTTGCTCTGGCTAAAATCATCACTTTCTAGAACCTCGCAGTGTGTATGCCCTTTTCCTTATTCTGGCGGTAATTTTCCCAGGAGTCTGCTGCTAGGAGCAAGACTGCATCCGCTAGCTTGCAGCTCAGATGAGGTATCTAACTCTTGCAGTGAAATCACAGCAGACACCTCTACTGCAGCCCTCACCCATCATCCTCTCGGTACAGCTCAAATATATGACATGAGGCGTATGGTGCTTGAACCCCGTTGTAGACATCTAGAGCCATCTGCAGTGCCACAAGGGTGGTGTCATGCTGAGAAAGAGGGAAAAAACAGACAAGTCAGTCACCCTTATGAAGGGGAAGGGCAGCTCAGGCCATAGCAGCAAGGGACAGGACTGCTGGGAAGTCACCTTTGTGACTTGCAGCAGGAGGAAGGGAGAGGAGCAGTGCAATSGGAAAGGGGATCTGTGATGGTGCCACCGAATGGAAGGGAGTGAAGCACAGCTGTACAGGCCATGCATCATTCTTTAAGAACTGGYCTTTAGGGAGCAATCTGGGAGAGATGCTTGGCTCTCCAGTCAGCAGGCTGAGCAGGCTGCTGGAGAGGAGGGATGACTCTCCATCCGGCTGCTGAAACATCTCATCTGGTAGCATCAACCCGTGCAGCACGTACAGCAACGGCAACCCCAGGTCTGCCAGTCGCGTCTGCCAGTCTGAGCTTACAGGGACAAAGTGCAGCTTCAAGTTTTCCTCAGGGGCCCCAGAAGAATGATACAGACAGCCCACCCAGACAGARGCAAAGATGCATCTCCTGATCACTGCATGGGCTGCAGAGAAGCTAGAAAAGGTTAAAACCGTTAGAGAGGTTCAAACCACCCCATGAGAAAGTGGAGGAGAAGACAGGCTGAAGCTGGCACCTGTGGTCTGCCTTACCGCAGAATAGGCGAGCAGCTTCAGCTGCTGGTGGGCAGAGCTGTTGGCTGCTTTGGTTAGGTTCTTCCTAATGTGATCCAGCAAGACCCCTGAGGAAAGGGACAAGTGATGAGATTGAAAACCGAGGCAGAGCGGCATGAATCTCCCTCCTCTGCCCACTTACCCCCTTGTAAACGAGCTTTCTCTATCCGATGGTGAATCCCAAACAGAAATTCAAAACTGAAGTCCTTTAATTGCTTCAGTCTAGCCATGACATCTTCAGTCACCCATAATGGCAGCTTCATCTTGTGTGCTTGCTAGAAAGAGACAGAGAACACTCCTCTGCAGGTAGCACAGACCCACAGATCAGCCACATGCACGTGAGCCAGGGCAGCTGGGCCTTGCCCAAACTGCCGCTGAGTTCCTACGTCATTTTGAATATGTCACTTCACTGCTCATGCTTCCATTCCCATCCTGCCACACTACATACAAAGAATATATGTGGCTAATGTCCTTACCTTCTAAAGTTGTTTCAGAATSTAAGGATGAGAAACAAAAAGATTAAAGCCTGGGAGCTGCCATTTCTGTGAAGTACAACTGGAAGGCAAGATTAGTTTGCAAGAGCAGTACAGACAGACAAGCCAGGCACTTGCAGGCTGATTCTGCCCCACAGCTGGCAGGCAGTCAGAAGCAAAAGGAAAAGCGGGGAGCAAAAGGAAAAGTGGGAAGCACAGCCTCAGTTTCTGGTGCACCAGCCATACGTTTCCCTGGGAGCTAACTGTGAGCCATTGCTGACAGCCCAGTAGTCAAAGCCACAATATATACGAAACAGGGAACCAAGGAAGGGATTTGCTTTGCAGCCAACCTGTTACAAGAAAGGATTATATACTGGCAAATGAATAGCAGTTGTGGTTCCCTGGTGTTGCTCAGACGGAGCAATTTTCTGTGCCACATTCCATTAAACTGTCAGAAGATGAAGCTGAGTGTCCTTGAGGGTCCATTCTGTCTGAGAGCATCAGTGCAAATTCCCATCAGCACCCAAACAACCCAGTGTTTGGCTAGTTTGGCATTAATTTACAAAGAGAATAGCTGGGAAATTCTTTTCTTTTTTTTTTCCCCTAGTCGATAGAATGAATCGGGTGAAAGAAACAATCCTTCATTTAGGGYGCTATCCGTAAGAGTGAAATAAAAAGAAGGAAGCCCAAAGTGACCGAAGCGGCTATTATTTCTCAAGAGTAAAGCTTCCTTCCTCACAACTTTCTTATTTTGTTTTCAGACTGAGAGCTGTTCTCCAGATTCTTAGGGCTACAGTGGCTGCAAGCCCTTTCAGCGAGACTCGAAAGGAAAAGGATCTAAAATTGGCATTTCTGACCAAAGCAGGTTTGGTCACTGACAAAAGTTGCTTCACTGTGATTGCTGTAAGACAGGGGATTGGGTATGTGATACAAAGGGCAAATTTACATAGTGCAGGGCAGCTCTGGAGCAGGATTTTCTGAGCTTGCAGCAACTCAAGCTGCTGCTTTATGTGGCAAAGTGCAATTGTGTGCAGATTTGCCCCCTACACCCACCCCTGCCAAGTTAGTTTGTAGTTGCATTAATGTCCCGTGGCCAGGAAGGTAACTAGCTGGGCACCTCCACAGAGCTAATTAGCAGRACACGGTGTCACACCAGCTGCTTTACTGTTTCTTCCAGAATTAGATAGTTTAGTACTAATGCATTCTATAAGAGGCTTCATTGTGTTGAATAGTTATATACAAGTAAATGTCTGCAACAGTTGTGAATCTCCTGGGTACGTAACCTTCAGCATTATCACAGCAGAGCTGATTTTATTTTTTAAGCCTTCACGAGATGTGAAGGCTTTCAACAAAATTGCACACGAATTTCACTGAGGTTGTTTTCCCTTCTCTTCAAGACAGCAAGATGGTAATATCTATCTCTAGAGTCTTTCTCTGTCAAAGGCCCTCAGCATATTGTACAGATGTTGCTGATCCAAGCAGTTTTATGAGCTCTTGCAAATTAATTTTCCACCAAATTCAGTGACTCCCAAGGAACCAGATTCCTGTGGCTGTAAGATGATGACCAACTTACTTCACAAAACAGAGTGTCATACACACTCCAAACAGACTCGAGAGAGACATCCCGGATCCCAGTCTCATTTGCCACCATCTGCAGGAATTGCTGTAGGAATGAGCAGAAAAAGCAGCTTTCAGTTGTCCAGTGTCATACTGTATGACATGCACAGGATGGGGGTGGTCTTACCCGTTTCTCAGAGCTCTCATTACCTAGGGGTGCTTACTTTAGCTACTGTCCTCCGACCTTATCTCTTGCAAACAGTCACTTACCAAATTCTCTCTGGTCTTATTTGTGTATTCAGCTGAGTCCCGGGTTTCATTCTGGAGCTGTTCGTAGCGTGGACAGGGACCCAGYGGGAACTTCAGTAGCTGGGCAGAGACAACAAGAGCAGCTATGTCACCAGGCACACGGAAGTGCAGAATCAAAGACAGCACCTGCCACTGTGATGAAACCCTAACTAGTTGGGTGCATCTGTAAACAGCTTCAAATACCTCCTTCTACAGTACTTGGACTGAGCGTGGTCTGCTGAGGTGCTGCAGCCAACGCCCTGAGCGAAAAGACATCCTGAATTACTTTCCCAGGCAGAAAACAGAAGTATCTTTGCAAGGCAGGTCCAAAGGGAAACTCAAGGCAATCTGAACCARGACTGAAGGAAGGACTTTGGAGACGCCAGCAAAGCAGCCAGCTCGGGTAGCCACCCCACCATGCTCGAGGGCAACTTACCCTCTCGCCGGCCTCGGGCACCGTGTGCACGGGGATAGGCTGCCAGGAGATGTTCGGGTTGAACCTCTCCTGCGCGTCCGGGGGATACAGGCCCGCCAGGTTGGCCTCCGCGCTCATCAGCGTCCGGTCGAAATCCGTGCTGCGGATGAAGATCTGCGGCGCGGGACGGGACAGGACAGAGCGCTGTGAGCACCGGCGCCGCTCGCCGCCCCGAGCCCGCTCCTGCCACCTGCACGAAGCCTGGCGGGGCCGCGGGCCAGTCGCGCCTGCTGCCAGGGCGCTCTGCCCCCTTCACCCAGAACAGCGAGCAGGGAAAGAGAAAGGAGCCGGAATACGAGTCAGAGAAGAGCAAGAAAAAGATGCAGGTAGTGATGGGCACAAGCAGGAAATGAGAGGATAGAGCAGGACCGGGGCAAACTCCTGGATTCAGGTCTTAGTTCTCCCATCTGAGAAATGAACACAATCATCTGGCTAACAGAGGAGTGGGGGCTGAGATTTTATTGGATCACTGTGAGCTCTTGGGATTAATGCACCAAGAYGGTTTATCATTCCGGAGTTCAGAAAGATACATCTGAACCAGAAAGAAAAGAGAATAATGGGAATATTCAGAAGGGTCAAAATGGGCTTGTGGTATCTGTATACTGAAGACACTTAGGAGAGGTCAGGGAGAGCCAGTAATAAAATAACGGGAACACATATGAAACCATGAAAGAATGCCTTCAAAGTGAGCATATTGGATATGGTACGCCAGGAACAAAAGAAACTAGAAGAATCGAAGACAGTGCAAAGACTGTGTTTTGTTTTGTTTTGTTTTGTTTTTGTGATGTGAACTCAGGAGAGGGAAGCATACAGAATACATATGCTCACTGTGTATAGTAATTCCCATACAGACTGTATCTGAAAAGTTTAGAGCCAAGAGTCGGGGGATAAAGTCAGACATTGACTTTTGACAACTTCTACCCAATTTTGCCTCCTAATTGTGGCTTGAAAACAAYAGAGCCTGGACTCATTGCACAGGACTGCTTTCATCCTAGATAAGCCCTGCAGAAATAGAAAGGAAATATTTTAAAAGATAAGGATTTAATTCCAGGAGTGTCACAACCAGCCATGAAGCCCTGTCTGTAAGTGCTTTCTTCAGCACCTTTTCCCAGGGCTGCAGCTTGTTACGGAGTCAGGTGGCAGCCGGTCACGGGGTGTCACCTGGAGGCAACGCTTCTTACAAGAGGGAGCTGGGCCCGGCTGGCAGGGTGGTTTCTGTTTGCGTTGGTGATTTGGTTTGTTTTCCCTTCTCAAGCAAGGGAAGAAAAATAAGTTTCAGGTGGCAAAGCTTTGCAGGAAGGGAGCATGTTCGCAAAGGAACCGCTCGGGGAGGTTACGGGAGCCGGGCTCAAGCTGGCGCTGGCTGCAAATGTCAGAGGGGATGAAATCCGAACCGCGCCAAGCTCTGCACTTACCGGGAAGCCTAAAACCAGGGGCAGCCAGGACAGGAGACCTGCGCTTGCCTCGCAGCGGGGCCGGGGCCGCTCGCCGGCCGCTCCGCTCGCAGCTGCCTCAGCAGCCACCGCGGCGCGGGAACGGCTCTTCCCAGCCTTCAGATGGGCCCCTCTGCTTAGTACTCGGTTCCCAATGGGCTCTRGCTGTGCTTTTTGTCAAGGAGAACTGCGCGGGGCTCTCGGTTTCCCACGAACCGGCACAAACTGCGGCAACTGTCACAGGCCCGCCGAGCGGAGGGACCAGCCCCGGCGGGGGGCTCGCTGGAAACAAGCGGCAGGGGCACTTGTGGGCAGTGCGGGGTGTTGGTGTGCGCGGGCTCCCGGGCGGCGGCGCCTGGGGCGCCCTGGACGTATGTGATGTATATGCATAGGCACACACACACACACACACACAGACACACACACAGACACAGACACACACACACACACACACACACACACACACACACACACAGAGGCGCGCGGCCCGCCCCGCGCCGCCCGTCACTGACCTCCTGCCGCCGGTACGTGGCGTTGAGGAAGCCGCGGTAGCGCCGCCGCAGGGCCTGGCCCAGTTCCCACTGCTGCCGCATCCCCACCTGCAGGGGCGGCGCGTCAGCCCCGCCGCCGGCAACGGGCACGGGCAACGGGCACGGGGACGGGCAACGGGCACGGGGACGGGCACGGGAGCAGCGGGCGGCCCGCGCCGCCGCCGCCGCGCGCACCTGCGTGAGCTGCCCGAAGCCCTGCGGCCAGGCGGCCTCCTGGTGCGGGTCCCGCGGGTAGGCC